TTTTCATTTTATTTTTGCATTTGTTTATGTTGATATGTTCTTTTATGATGGTTAATAGCTTCACCGCTTCTATGGTGGGTAACGGTGGAGCAGTTTGGACGGCCACGTAAATTTGTTGTCAGCAATCGCTGGATCTACACTTGGGTAAGTTTACTTTTTATATGTCCTTATTTTTTGGACTGATCGATCCTATTTTTTAAAATGCAGAAGAATGAGTTCCAGACATTGCGGGAAGTCCGAGAAATTGACATGTCGTTGAGGACTACCGTCGTTGCTGTTAACGTTACGCCAGACACAGCTACGGGAGGCAATTTTACAGGTGCCCGCGGTGGGGACAAGGACCTGAAGACTGTAAATTCTTCAGGTGGACGGACAATACAACTGTTTCTACGATATCCCAATTGGACACAGGTACTAGGAGTTCGAGAGTACCACAACAGGAGACCACCGCATATGGTTCGAGTTCTTCCGTGTATACCGCACCCCATCAAGACACACTTGCTCGGGGTTTTGAGGTATCAGAAACGGGCAACATCCGTCATGATGTGACTTTACATGTTAAACTCAATATTGTCATATTTTTCCTTGTAATTTTAACATGTTATTTCTTCTTTTTTTGGGTCTTTCTATAATCCATATTAGAGTTTCATAAATGTGTATTGAACTTTCATATATATCACTATGTTTTTTTGATGTAATCACAACTTTTTTGAGTTATATAAATATTATTAAACTTTTTTGCATTTTCATTCAAAAATAATATTCTGCTACACAGATTATTCATTCAACTCAAAAAATTTACAAATAAGCTGTTTACAAAATGCACTAACCAAACAACTAAACTGCTTATCAGAACAGGGGCAAAAGGGTCAATTTTTCACAATCAGCTATTTTCCAGACGCGTTAACCAAACAGCCAGACAACTTATCCGGATCAGCTGGTCATAAGCAGATTATCAGGATAAGCTGCTTATCAGCAGAAGCTGGATAAGCTGCAGCTGCCCCAAACAGACCCTTATTTCCACTATTCATCAGAAGGAATGAATTCTTGTCTCTCATTAATCTCTCTAGGAATATAGAGTTTATAAAACAGATGGTG